GAGACAATTCCACAAAGGGAAACCGCCTTTTGAAACCAGTGAAAGCATCAATCGCTAAACAATCTCTCGAAAAGAACAGGACACAGGAGAACATTATGGATAATGAGGAATCCGAAAGTATCAAGCCAACAGATGCCGAAGAGGCTTTAACAGCCTTAAAGGAGATTAAGGTATTATCACAACAAATTGTTAAGTTACACGACAAAAGTAGTGATGTATCTACCTCTGAGTCGGAATTGTAGGAGATTAAGGTATACAGCTATTTCAATTAAGGTTGTCCACGAGCAAAGCGGAAAAGTCGAATACGAGCGCGAAAGACTGCTAGGAATCGCTAAAAAATTCATTAATTTTTTAGCGATTCCCAGCAGCCTTTCGCGCTCGTATTCGACTTTTCCGCTTTGCTCGGGGACAGCCTTAATTGAAATAGCTGTGTATTATCACAAAAAAACATGAGGAAAAGGGAAGATCATAGAAAATTAGGATCCTATAGTGATTTAGGATTATCTCAGAGAGATTAAGGATTCTGTATCTGAGTCTGAATTATAAGAGATTAAGGCCAAATATATTATCACAAAGAGATGGGGGAATGATCATACATAGATCAAGGATTATCCTAAAGAGATTAAGATTATCTCAAAGAGATTAAGGATTATCTCAAAGAGATTAAGGATTATCTCAAAGAGATCAAGGATTATCTCAAAGAGATAAATGATTATCTCAAAGAGATAAAGGATTATCTCAAAGAAATAAAGGATTATATCAAAGAGATTAAGGATTATTTCAAAGAGATTAAGGATTATTTCAAAGAGATTAAGGCTCATAGAGATTAAGATATTATCCCAGCGAATTGTCAAGTTGACAAAACTAACGAAGTCTCTGCTTCGGATTTTGAACTTGCAAGTAAGAAATATATTTATATAAAAATGGATGTTTTTGGTGTCAATATTTTACAATCTAAGTAATGCCTTGCCATGTTTTCTGCTGCGAGGTTTTGTTAACTCATTAATCCTTGACAGTCAAATTCCAAATGTGAATCCATCTCGAAAGTTCGTAGTTTAATTTTATCCTCAATGAGCAGGATTTTCAGAATTATTCTGAGTAGTTGCCTGTGTTGATAAAGTAGCCGGCTGTGGGGAGCGGTCCATAGGCCATTTGCAGGTTGAGGAAAAATAAATTTGTTTGGGAGCTTAGAGGGGAGGAAGGCGAGCAGAATTGATAGTTCAAGTACTAATGGACAACTTGCATATTAGACTAAATTTTAATCTAAATAAAGATAATGGATTCAAACACAACAGTTAAAAAGAACATAAGGCCAAAAAAAAAATATGTGGGTTTCCGGTTTCTTCTTATAAAAACTTAGGTAGGGTAGGTCGGTTTTAACTTTTTTTTTTTAATTTTGTTTTTAATTTTCCGAATAAGCGGACGCCATTTTGTTTAGTCAGTGCTTCCACATCCAAAGATAAATTTCCCTAATATTTCCTCAAATTTCAATTTTCCTATAGTATAACCCTAATGCTTGGTCGCTAAGCCTGCTGTATTTGGTAATGGCGCCTAAACACAAAGTTTTAGCGGCAAGTTGTATAATTTTATGTCTTGGACCTTTGCTTTGCTTTCTGCATTTAGATGTTGTGGTCTTTTACTTTGTGTGTTATTGTATCAAAAGGGCAAATAAAACATGACCCGCTTGGTATAGGGTGACCTGACGCGTTTACATACTTTATGTAAAAAAAAACATAGTCGTTTGCTAGGGTTGTCTGTTTGATAGGGTAACCCTACCCCTAGGATAATCCTAGCGCGCATGTAAACGCAACGCACAAACACAATAGACTAGGGTAAATGATAATAACTTTTGTTAATATACAGGGTGTATAAAAAATGAGACCTTTAGAAATCAAGGCATTGTTGAAATTTGAATGCATTGCACGTACTATGCTGACACAGATGTGTAAATTAAACAGAATTTGTCTATTCCTCGCATTGCAAAGTTTATGTATAATCCTGTATTAAGTCCAGCCCCTTAAATTTTACTTATTAGCTTCGCGAATGGTTTACATTACAATATAGCTACACTATCTTTGGCAGGGTAACCGCAAGAGCGATTAGCCTATTGCCGCCACAAACTTTTTCCTCTAAGTGGAAACACTTACAAGCATGATCCAATAAAA